CCTCCCTGCATCTAAGTTACAAAAAGAAATTTTGGAAGAAGTCATCTCCAAGGCCCCATGGGAGAGACTCACTGATCCATAAATGTATTGTGTGTTAATCAAGCCACCTCTCCTAACTATGCTTTCATTGCCACAGATAAACGATGCACCATGTTTTATAGCCCATCCGATGCCAAACTTCAGAAAGTCTGTGAAGGAGTAACATGCAAATGCGTAGAAGGTAAACTTCATGTAACATGTTCAGGCTGCATGCTTGTTTAAAGCAGCCACTCGTAATCCAGGGCTAATCTGGCAGAAGCTGTTTGACAAACTTGTTCCTCAGAAGTAGACATCTCAGCTGACTGAAAGCTGATTCCTTGAATACTGCAAAGCTACTTCTCGACAACCCTGATAGGTTCTACTGTACAAAGACAGAGAAACCCCAGCTAGATGATTGTTCATATCAGAGGGATAACAGGATGTGAAATTCTTACTTTTCACCTGGTCTTTTTAATGTAATAGGACCACAGCTTAAGAGAACAGAGGCTCAGGACTGAGCCATTAGCCCCATTCTTTTTCCTTTTCCTTAACACTTAGTGACATCTCTGTTTATTGCCCAGTTCCCTTCAGTCTTCTGTAAATCCAAGGCAGGGTTCTTGGTCAAGGAAAAGACCCAGAACTCAACAATCATTAACAACTGACTCCATGAGGGTCTGGGTTGTTTTGGGGGTTATTTTGTTTTTCAAAAACCTTAATAGCTATACATTTCTTAGGTACTTATTGTACCATTTTATAGCTGTAAATCAGTCCAGTTATCATTTCGGTTCCTTCAAGGGACTTTTAATTATACTCAAAATGGGAAATTTTCCTCCTTTCTTTAATGAAAGCATATACATTTCTAAAGAACTGAATGTGGAGTGACAACCCATTCTAAACTTCATGTCCAAGATTTTGTTTTTGTTTATTTTGTTTTCTTTTTGCTTTATATAATGTTTCACTTTATGGAAGAGGAGAAAATGGCATTTGTAAGATTATACTGGATTGTCAGGGCTTATGAAAACTGTGTTTACTGCCAAAGGGAGTGTCTGCCTCTTTATGTTAACCTAACTTTTGCCATTTTTCACAAAATCCAGCTGACTGCGGACAAATGCAGACAGAACTGGATCTGACAATCTCTGCAGATACTAGAAAAGAAACAGCATGTAAACCAGACATTGCCTATGGTAAGTTCAAAGTTTCTATATAGAGTTCCATTAAACATAAAATTTTATGAAAACATGATCTGTTAGAGAGATCAACAACTTTTCATAGTGACTATTTGGATACTACATGCCATGTGTTCCCTTGAAGGAAAATGCCATCGATTTTTAACATTCACATGCAAAATTATTTATCCTTCAGCAAAGAAATGTGACTTTCATTTAAAAGTGAGTGATGGGGCGCCTGGGTAGCTCAGTTGGTTAAGTGACTGCCTTCGGCTCAGGTCATGATCCTGGAGTCCCTGGATCGAGTCCCGCATCAGGCTCCCTGCTCAGCAGGGAGCCTGCTTCTGCCTCTGACCCTCCCCCCTCTCATGTGCTCTCTCTCTCTCATTCTCTCTGTCTCAAATAAATAAATAAAATCTTTAAAAAAAAAGAAATAAAAAATAAATAAATAAAAGTGAGTGATGTACACACCCAGCTGAGACACTTTGCTCCAACAGAGCCCATCGAATTAAACATACTGAACTAAAATATATTCAAAGAGAACTTATGAGAAACCACGAAGGTGTAAGATTTCACTATTCTTCCAGTCAGTTGAGCAGAGGCAGAGACAAAGGTGGTTTGGGGGCTTAGAATTTTTCAAACTCCCTTCAAAGACAAGGTAAAAATATCAATACTAACTCATTTTAAATATATGCAGAATTGCAATCTTCCACTTCAAAAGGAGCATCTCCTTCTGGTTGTCCAGGATTCAGAGCTGTATCAGATGCCCAAGTACAGTTGTAGTCTTGTCTTAAATTCAGAGAATTAGCTCCTTTGTTTTCTTTTTTTTCTTGTGTGTGTGTGTGTGTGTGTGTGTAAGTTCCTTATATATTTTGGATATTAACCTTTTTTTGTCTTTCTTTTTTTAATTTAAATTCAATTAGCCAACTTATAGTACATCATTAGTTTCAGATGTAGTGTTCAATAATTTATCAGTTTTGTATATAACACCCAGTGCTCATCACATCAGGTGCCCTCCTTAATGCCCATCACCCAATTACCCCATCCCTCCCACCACCTTCCCTCCAGCAACCCTCAGTTTGTTTGCTATAGTTAAGAGTCTCCCACAGTTTTTCTCCCTCTCTGATGACTTCCCATTCTGTTTCCCCCTCCCTTCCCCTGCAGTCCTCTGCCCTGTTTCTTATATTCTACATAAGAGTGAAACCATATCATAATTGGTTTCTAATGTTTATTTCTGGCTTCATTTTCTTTTTTTTAAGAGAGAGAGAGAGAAAGAGAGTATATTGTACATGATCTCAAACCTTTTGTGTGTGTGTATATGAAAGTAGGGTATTATTTATAAATGAAAGGTGGTAAGTACAGTTAATTCAGCACTTTCTGTTTACTGACTGCTTTTATATATGGTTTCTCATTGGGGTCTCATAAGACCTCTTTGAGGTAACAGAGGATTATCTGTATTTTGCCAGTGAAGAAACTGAGGCTCAGGGAGATTAAATAATTTGTTCAAAGTCATGCAGGAATTAAGTAGTAAAACTAGGATGCATCCTGGTCTCCAATATTTTTTCCATTATATTACACCGATCTCACTTACTGGAAATATAGCCATCAGAATAAATTGGGTATGGTTTATAGTCTTTCCATAGAATTCATTTTTTTTTTTAAGAGTTTACTTATTCATTTGAGAGAGAGAGAGTGAGCAGAAGAGAGCATGGGTGAGGGTAGGGGGCGGTTGTGGGAGAGGCAGAGGGAGAGGGAGAAGCCGACTCCTCTGCTGAGCAGGAAGCCTGATGTGGGGCTCAATCTCAGGACCCTGAGATCGTGACCTGAGCCAAAGGCAGACACCTAACTAACTGGGCCACCCAGGCGCTCCTATTCAGGACATGTTAAAATCTGTTTTAGGCTACTAATTCACTTGACCTTTGGTTCTGGCACAGTGAGTTCATTCATTCATCTAGCTAGCTGGAATCTCAAAAATGGACAAACCTTTTAGGTCATTCACTTCAACCCCATCAAAAACAAAAATAAGAGAATCTTTTCTTAGGTTACATAGAAGGGATAGGTCCCTTCAAGCTGCTCATCCCAAAACTGAGATCAAATACCATGGATTAAAAATCGATGCCTGAATGAAGAGAAAACAGGATAGAGAATGTCTCGTGTCAGATAGCTGCCAATCCCAGCAAAGATGCGTCAGAAGACCAAATCCTATCAAAATCCAAAGATCAGAGCCATTGGAGGTATCCAAGGAATCAAGACAAGGGAACAGGAGGCCCATAGGGCAGGCCTGAATGATAGATAAAGGCCCCTCTGTGGGCAAATGGAAAAGGAAGGGGCTCTTCCATGTTCCCTATGGGCATGACCCCACTAACTTAAAGGATCAGAATCTGAACTTTACGTCTGACAAAGGCATATTTTGTTTGTTTAGTGTGCTTCTGTCTTTTAATTTAATGCTGCTGTTATCCTAATCAGCCTGTTCTATAACAGTGGCTAGGTCTAATGATTCCTAGAATGAATCATTAGTCATGATCAGTAGAGTCAGATTGAGAGTGTTTAGGAAGGCTTTTTGGAAGAAATGAGATTTACCTCAGTGTGCCCGTAAGAGCTTGGTATGCTACATTTCTCATTTGTTTGACAAACTCTGACTTCTGCTGGACATGGCATTAGCGATATTAAGCATGAATTCTTATGTTGTTTCTTCTACCAGCTTATAAAGTTCGTATCACATCTATCACTGAAGAAAATGTCTTTATTAAGTACACTGCAACCCTCCTGGATATCTACAAAGCTGGTGAGAATTCATTCATTCATTCTTTCACTCAACAAATATTTAGTACTTACTATGTGCCATTAATGAGACATTATGTTGGTAGACTAGGCATTATATTAGTCACAGAGAATACAACTTGAATAACACAGCCAGAGTTCTTGCCTTCATAACGTCTATATTCTGTTTGAGGAGATACATTTTAAAAAAAAGAAGAAAGAAAATGAACAAACAAATTAAACAATTACAAATCATAACAAGTACTATATTTGAGACACGTAATTAATGTGGGAAACTCCTTCACTGTGATAACAGATGGCGTGTTTTGGGGGTGGTATCAGGAGTTAGCCATTCTTAAAGGGGTGGAGTAGAGAGGGAACTGAATATGCAAAGGCCCTGAGATGGCAAGTAACCTGGCACCACCAGGGAGCTGAAGAACCTAGTATGAGATGAAGCCAAGAGGTAGGCAGGAGCTGGGTTGTACAGGGATTTATAAGGCATGGCAAGAAATTTGGATTTTATTCTGGAATTCCAAAGGGAAGTTAATAAAAGGTTTGAGGTACGCAAACAACATGATCTGATTTATGGTTTTAAAAGATCATTCTGGTTTCTTTTGTGGGGGGGATCAGGAGTAGAAACAGGGAAACCAGTTAAGAGCGTCCATGAAGTACAAAGCTGTAGGTTGGATGCCATGTAAGGATAAATGAGACTTTTATTAACTAACCAACATAATAAAATGAATTCACATGTAAAATAACATATAAAACATTTTAAAATATGTTCCCTTGTATTCTCTAATTAAACTAAGCTGTAAATATTATAAAACTGCTTGTCAAATTATGTAAATTGTCACACAAATGATTCATTAGATCATTATAATAATTCCAAATAAGTTTTTTATTTTTAGAAATTGTCAGTCTTATTTTGCTTGACTCACTACAGGATTGCCCCTGTCTGAGCTTGGATTTGACAATAAGGAACCACATCAAACTTTTCTGATTACATCTTTATTGAATTTATAGTCTTTACACAACCTATAATCTCAATAAGTAATTTCTCCTAATAGCAACAATATCGTTCATGGTCCTGAAGTCTCTATCAGCTTCTGCTAAATTGGTAGTAATTACATTCAAAATGTTTCTAGTCCTTTGGACACTGTCTGACATTTTTATGTATTCAGTGTATCTCTATTATCAGCTGAATCATGACAACGATTTATTGAATTTTTTGAAATTTGAAAATTTATTGAATATTTAGTTTTCCTAATTTTCTTAACTTTTATTGCCCTTGAGAGTTTTACAAACACCATAGACAAAGTTTTAGGATTCAGAATTTTTTTTAAAAACTTAAAAGTTCATCAAATTTTTTACTTTTGCCATTAAAACAAAAACATTTTCATATAATTATCTTTTCCCTTAAATTGATTTTATTTTGTTTTATATCAAATTTGTAATCATTCTTGATTTTGTCAAAAGCTCTTGCTCCACTTTCATAGTTTCCTTTATTTTTACACAATTTCATTATTCATTCCCTAATCTGTGAACTTATTAAAGTTGAAATATATTTTCTTGAACATCTGAAGATAGTATTGACATAATTGCTAGACTATCATGAGCAAATCACCAAAAAGCATATCTGAAATCTATCCACTTTCTAAATATTTGCTCTGATATCACAGTATCTATCTAAGTGAACCAAGCAAGCTTGATATAATTTCCAAACTGCCTTTGTGATCCTTGCACTACCAGCTGCCTGTCAAAATCCCAATATTTTTCCTGTTTTCATTATCATAATTTTTTTCATTATTGCAATTTTTAAAGCTTTTCCTATTATTACTTACTTCTGCCTAGATATGCAGTAGTAAACACTGAATTTATGAAGACAATATTTAAAGTGAGATTTTGCTTGGCTCCTATCTTTGTAGTGTCCAGAGACACTTGATACCTGCTTGACAGGTAATTCAGTCAACACCAAATTGAACAGCTGGGAACTTCAGAATTCTTGCTGAAGCCTGACTCTTCCCTGGCAATCTATTTGTACCGATAAGGTGTTCACATAAATATTCCTCATTGACTCCTTTCTCTCACAAACAGTTTGATATGTTGTTCAGTTGTTCCTTCCAGTACCTTGAAATCAACAAAACCCATTAAGTGGTCTTCAAAGTCCCCAATTTTTTATTTTATGTTATTTTAAAGATCTTTTTTTAGTTGATTTTCTCAATGATTGAAATTTTATCACCTTATTTATATTTTCCAAAAAGTTGTGTTCTCATTTCAGTAGGTTTAAATTTTGCAATAAGTAGGACCATAAATCTAAATTGCAACTTTATGTTTATACTGATTTTCTTCTCTTTTGAAATTCTATCAGGTGTTTCAAGTATGAAAATTCTTCATCATTTTTAGCCATAGACTAGAGTTAGATTCTAATAATACTTTCTAAATCTTTATTTGCTTGATGGATACTCTGATAAAAATGTTTTTCTGGTTTTTATTATTTCAAATGTTTTACTGTATGAAATTGATTTGTGATGTTATTCTATTTTTTTCTCATTGATGATCACAAATTTTCTTTATCTGAATCATGATTGTTATTCTGACCAAAATAGGTGTTTAGCACTCTGATCTTTTCACAGTCTAACTTTTGAGCACCATTTGCATCCATCTTTCACATTGTAAGGAAGAAAGAATAAACCATTCCTATTTTTACTGAAATAATCAAGTGCTTTTCATTCCAGAAATACAAATTATTTGTCTTCTATTGTACCAATTCTTGCATAGTATCAGAAGACATCCCAGGCTGTTCTGAATGTTGTGCAGTATCAGATGATTCCCAAGCTGTAGTTCTTTATCAATATCATCTCTTCTTTGTTCTCCTGTCCATTCAGAAGATTCATATTTATGATATTTAAAAGGAAATGTTAAGAAATGTTTGCATATTTTATTATCTCTTCATTCTGGGTGTCCATTTTTTAATATATACAAATTTGGAATTTATATAAATATCAGAACATCAAACATTTACCACTTACCCCAAGAATTGCTGCACACAAACAATAAGCCAACCTAAAAACTAAACTACTTAGAACAGAGGACAACCACGCAGTTCAAGGATAATGATAATTGGTGTTTCCCCTAAAACATAGGGTGCTTGGAGTGAAGATATAAATGGAAAAAAGATCAGTGATTGTGGAAGCTGAGGTTAATTAACTAGTCCCTCTTCTGAATATGCTTGAGATTTTCTATAACAAAAGGCTTTTAAAAATAATGATAAGGCTCCAGCAGCCACACTGTTTACCATGACAGGGGCTGAACTGGTAAACAGTGCTGGGGATGCTCTTAGATATTGCTGCCCGGGGCAGTCATGTCTTAATGGTCATCGGGAGAGTATAAGAAAATCAGCTCAAACTGATGTGTGCACCCTTGTTAAATATTACTAATTAAAGTTTACCATATATGCAGTTACTATTAAGTATACGTTCAGAAGTTTTTCAGGATTTAACAATTAGGATAACTCTGTCAGAGTTAAATAACTGATCATCAGTCCCAAATCTATAGCAATGAGTCAGACCCAGTCCCTGCCTCAAGAAGTTTCCAGCCTAGCTGAAGACAGATATATGGAATGAAACATTGTGATAGAAATTCAAGTATAATGGGAGTAAGGGGGAGACAGAGATATTTATGACAAAGAACATCCAGGAGTGTTTACTGGATACCTCGAGAATTGAAGATGTGTTTCAAGATGGGTAGAAATGCAACAGGACAACAGAGGAAGAATGCATTCGAGGTGACGGAGCCAGCTTCTTGACGACTCCTGAGTTCTTTGGGAATCCCAAAGTTATCCTCTTTCAAATCCTCCCAAGTGCATATCCTGCACTTCTCTACAAAGTCATCCATTGCCAGCTACCAAATACTTTTTTATTTTGCTGTATAACATTTGGGGATTAGTGTTCAACTTTAGAGAAGTTCTTTTAATTCCTGGTTCTACAGGAGTAAGGATAAGAAGCACTTATACCGTGCTTGCTGTGTTGTAAGCACTTCTCCTATATTCACAACAGTTCTACAAGTGGGTTTTATTGTCATTCCCAACTTTCCAGATGATGGGTCTGAACCTCATTTGCCCAGGGCCACACAGCCAACAAATGGCAGTCTTAACCATATGGACATTGTCACTCTCCAATAGCCACTCAATATAGGTTTATACTCATTAATAACTAGCCATGAGGAACTGGAATTGTTAAGAGTTTATACTTGTAATATCCTAACATGAATGTGATAATCTTACTTGTGTGCCTCTCAGGCGAAGCTGTTGTCGAGAAAGTCTCTGAAATCACCTTCATTAAAAAGGCCACGTGTGCTAACGCTGACCTGGAAAGAGGAAGACAGTATTTAATTATGGGTAAAGAAGCCCTCCAGATAAAATACAATTTCAGTTTCAAGTAAGTCATTTTGGAGTCTCTGATCTTTCCTTCAAAACTAGGTGTCATTTATCCTTAATTACTTGTTTCTTATATGTCCTGCTGTTAACCAACAAACCATTAGGAGCATAAATGCAATAATGTGAATTTACACTTGATCTTAGCCATAAGGCCAAGAAGCAATGAAACAATATGAATTTAAAACGAAGAACCACTTAAAACCATGAGGGCGGCTGAGCACTCACTGATGGATAAACCAACTGAGGACCTGGGTCTGAGGATGCTTCTGAAGGCGCTCATCCATCCCCCTCTATACCACATCTGCCCCCCTCAATAAGTTCTTGGACGGTTCTGTTTGTAAAGAGAGAAATGTTTAAATATGCATCTTATTGTCTCTTTTTAAAAAATAGATCTTGAAAGAGACACTGTTCCTGCCTTTAATCATGGGAGCCCCAAGCAGTTTCCTGAGATTTGGGGGTTTGTGGTCCTTCCCAGGGGGAGGCCAGTGAGGCAGAGCCTGGCTGACAGTGTGGCCTCACAGGGATTAAGCAGGCTGAGCAGCCTGAGCTCCGTGGAATTCAGCTCTTCTCTATCTGTGGCCATCACCACAACAGTTTCATCATCCTTTTTTCTTGGCAGGTACATCTATCCTTTAGATTCCTCGACCTGGATTGAATATTGGCCTACAGATACAACGTGCCCATCATGCTCAGCATTCTTGGCAAATTTGAATGAGTTTGCTGATGACATCTTTTTAAATGGCTGTGAAAACCCCTGAAGTAGTTCAACTATGCACAGTTTTCACTGTGGACTCCTGTTGTTGAAGTGTCTTCCTTTTCTTTTTTTTTCTTTTAAACATTCTCAGTTGGTCTTATTTGGAAAGCTCACTTTACTTAGAATTAGTGGCACTTGCTTTTATTAAAGAACAATTTTAAGAGCTGTAACTTTCTGAAATAACATGGCCTTGGGGGGCATGGAGACAGATACTCATTCCAAGGTTATCGGACACCAGAAGCAATAAAAATTGGAACGTCTCCTAAAACCTGCCACTCAGGAATGTTTGCTGGGGACGAAAGAATAGCTCCATTGAAATGTAGTATCTTACAATAACATGGCCTTTGCTTGAAAGAAAATACCAAGGAACAGAATACTGATCATTAAAACCTGACTTTGCTTTCAAAATTTTCAAAAAAGCAAAAAAGCCTGTTATTTTATGCTAGGGCCTCTTCAACCACACAGACGGGTGAATTGAAAGGTGGACAGAGGCAGCAACGGAGACCTGACAAGGCCTAATGTCAGAGCCTTCTGCAAACTGAGAAGGTAGGAGCGTCTGCCCTGGCCCCTCCCCTCCCAGTGCCCTCTCCTCACCCTCGTGGGGATCCCACTCCTCCCTGCCCCTCCCTCGCAGCATCTAGTCATTTCCCCCAGGGACTTGCTCTTGCCAAGACTTTCTAGCCTGGGAAGGGAAGCCGCAGTGCAGCAACCTGGGGAAGAGAAACCGAGTGGGAATCAGGAGACCTTTGCTCTGGTCTCTGAGCCTGTTTGAACTTTAGAAGAGGATTTGTAATAGGACGTTCATTTTTAAGTGACATTTTGTAAGCACTTTAGATCTCATGAAAGAATTTTCACCTAGAGTCCCATTTCCTGTCTCAAGAACCTCACGAGGTGCAGGGATTTTTATTAACCCCACTTTATGGTTGAGGACATTGAAGCTCAGAAGAGTTAAGTCATTTTTCCAGCCTAGTAAAAGGCGGAGTTGGAGACCAAAGCCCACTTGCTCTCAGTCCACACATGTCCCTCTTCTACATCATTACACCACCACATTGCTTGTCAGGTTTAATTTTCTAAGACCAATGTAGGATGCGGCTGGAGTTTCTTAGGTAGAGTTTAACCAGCTCCACTGAAATCTCACAAGGAAACATGAAGATAAACTCTGGATATAATAGTGGCAGTGACTGAAATGCATTCCCTTCTTGAAAAATCTGCATTTTACCACTTAGGTGAAACGACATAAGGTTTACAGTGTGCCTTGTAAGTAATACTAAGATTTTCCACTTCCAGAAGCTAAGAATTTATTTTTGTTAATGTCAAAGCTCACGTTGTAGGCACTCCCTTGGCAAAAACAACCCATGTGTCCAATATGCCCAAACTCTGCCAGCAAGGAGTGAGGCCCACTGCCCCCCGGCTCCCAGAGTAGACCTGAAGCATCTCCTGTCACCTTCTTGCTGAATGCAGTGCTCAGAGGCACCAGAGTCTCTGAGCTGCTGGTAGCCCTCTCCGTGAGCCCCGTGGCAAGTAGATTGGGCCACAGTGGTCTAATTAACCCTGAAGCACTGCAGGTTTCAAACAACAAATCAAACCTTTCTGAGTTAACCTGGTACCATTTAGAAATCCACCAGCTCCTCTTCAGCTGACTCTTATGCATTTAAACATACTACTTTAGTGAGACTTTCACAATCCTCCAAATAGGATGGGGTCCCTACCGAACCCTGCATTTCTCTTCCAAGGCACTTGCAACTACTTATTTAGGCACGTATAATCGTTTATTTAGTGTACAGCTTCCTAGCACCACTGTAAGCTCTGTGTGGTCAAGTCTGGATCTGTTCTGTTCCCAACACTATCTCCTGTCCTGGGCACAATGCTGAACACATTAAAGGGACTCATTGCTTGCAGATTCCCACTGAGGATGGGGCATCAGAAGGTCCAAGTTCTAGTCTTGACTTTGCCCCCGCAGGGACTTGGGGCAAGCCTCTTCATCTCTTTGGTGGCCTGAAAAAAAAGGGAGTTAATACTCAAATGCCTTTCTATAGCTCTAAGAAGATATTTTATAATCTTATGTTGTGAAACAAAACAGAACCACATGGTGTGTAAGCATGACATGTATTTTTTTTCTGTGAGTATGGTGGGAGCTCAGCGAAGTGAGTGAGTGCGAGAGCTGGGGGGGCTTCCTGAGGCCTGAAGAAGGGCACATAGGATTTGCGTAGGTAGAGGGCGGCAGAAGGATCTTTGCGGTTGAAGGGAAAAGCATAGGCAGGCTTCCACTGGGGTAATAAGATTTAGGTGCTACAAATGAACACTATTCATTTAATAGCCATATGTTTAATTTTTTTAAGTTTTTATTTTAATTCCAGTTAGTTAACATACAGTGTTATATTAGTTTCAGGTATATGATATAGTGATTCAGCTATATGTTTATTTTAACATGTATTAGAAAAAATACAACTAGTACCTCAAAGCTGTGATATACAATTTTCTTTGAAAATAAATGTATTTGTCAAAAAGTAAGTCTATTTAAGGAAAAGTTTTAAGTAAACAAAAGCATAGGTTGTTCTTAGGGCAAAAATCAGGAGGTTGGCATGTACAAGATTGACGTTTAGGAAACTCTGTCTTAAGAAAATATGTGAAATTGACAATGAGCCAAGCTTAAGGCAGGCAGCCTCACTCCATATTTCTCAGTGAGGGATGCTGAGCCAAAGTCATGTTCAGTCTTACTTTCCAGCCTCCGTGATGCTAGTTTATTCAGCAACATCCAACAAATATGTCTTGATTAGTAATTGTAGGCCAAGCCCAATTCTAGGCACTTGGTACCTAGATCCCCACCCTTGTGGGACTTAGATTCCAGCTGGGGAGACACAACTTGAACAATAAAGACAGTAGTTAGGCGTCTGACCCTGACTGTTTTAAATTATTATTTTTTTTTTTTTAAGATTTTATTTATTTATTTGACAGAGAGAGATACAGCGAGAGAGGGAACACAAGCAGGGGGAGTGGAAGAAGCAGGCTTCCCACCGAGCAGGGAGCCCGATGCGGGGCTCGATCCCAGGACCCTGGGATCATGACCTGAGCCGAAGGCAGACGCTTAACGACTGAGCCACCCAGGCGCCCCCTGACCCTGACTATTTGAAGGGGATAGAGCTATGGGGAAAAGAAGAGGAGAGCAGAGTAAGGGAGCTGGGGAGTGGTCGAGGGTGTGGTTGCAGTTTTAAATAGAAGGATCTGGTCAGAGTAGGCTTCAAAGTGAGACCTGAGCAGAGACTTGGAGGTGGTGAAAGAGGGAGCCATGTGACCACCTATGGGACGAGTGTTCTGGGCAGAGGGAGCTCCATGTTCCCGCACCTGAAGCAGGAGCGTGCCCAGTGTCTTACAAGAGGAGGCAGGAGGCTGGTGTAACAGATGTAGAGTGAGCCACTTGGGAGGGTGGTGGAGAGGAGGCCAGCGAGGGCACAGGGACCAGATCACGCAGGTCATGGAAGGGCAGTAGCTGTACTCAGAGGGAAAGGGGAGCCACTGCAAGGTTTTGAGCAGAGGGATGACAGTAGGAGGTTATTGCAGTATATCAGGCGAGAGATGGGGCAAGTGAACAAAGCAGAGCTTTTCACCTCTGCAGTGAAAGAGAACGCACACCATGGGAACCATGGAGCTTCTCAGAAAAGGATGTTAGGATTTCTTACAGGATTTGGGCTTGTGATGGATTATTTTAGGGAGGGTTTAAGGAAGCAGGGCTTTGCTCTGGATTGGACGCTGTCAGGAAGCAGGAGTAATCCTATGATTGAGTATCTGAATTCTTATCTAACTAGAAGGAAAAGAAGTAGCAGTCACTCACATTGGCCAGCAAAGGGGGGATGTTTGGTCATTTTTGTGGTTTGGATAATGTTCTTGTCTTATTTTCTACTCAAACATGATTATGGAAAAGTCTCTTTTTTTTCCCCCCTCATCTTGATCCATTTTGTCTGATGTGATGTCTTTGTGTTCTGTGATGTCAGCACAGCCTGACTCTGAATACCAACAAGGTCAACTCCTAGGGTCACCAAGCCCAGCTCCCAGTCTAGCACCCCCTGTCTTCTCTCTCACAGGCCCTTTTTTCCTAGAAAATGCACACACACAAACGACGCACAGATTTGCATCCAATTTCAGAAGCCCCTGTGAAAGTCCAGCGCGTGGGCCTGAGGA